TAATGATAGTTCATTCTACCCGTGAAGATTTTAACCGCGTTGAATGTGGGCATCGAGTATTGAGAGATGAGTAACGAGCTATAATGAGCGATTCTTGTCCATTGAAAGCGTTAAATCGATTTAAATTGCGCGTTCTACGTAGATTTGAGAGGAGTGGAATAAATTCGTGCACAAGATTGTACGTAAAAAATGTATGTGTATAGCGCATGCGACACATTTCTAAATCAAAATGATAAGTTGATCTGTCGGATTAAAATTATAAATATATTTTTAATGCAACGGAGATGGTATTTCTAAAATAATGAATGAGATAATGCGACCACCGTTATACTTGTGCAAATAAACCTTAAAATAAAAAGAGATCATTTCACCTTTATTTTTAATTTTATTTATATAAATGTAATGATTTCATAAAGATGAAAAGATTGTAAAATATAATCAGAAACCCTTCTCGTAAGATAAACTTTATTCAAAGTAGAACTTGAAAATTTTATTTTAAATCATGAAGATTATATATAAACAATGTTATTTTTTATAACTATGGTATAACTTGGGTGAACAACGCAGATTTTAACTTTACGCAATATGTCTTAATAAAAATTGAACTTATTTCTTTTAATTTTAATTTTAATATATAGTATCTACTAAAATAAATCTGCTATTGAAAATTTCAAAGGTATACGACTTTTTAATCACATCGTTGTTTTATATTTAATTGAATAGTCTTTTATATAATTCACACAATACTGATAAATATCCGAGAATCTTGTAATGTAGAGAAAACGCAACATTTGTCTATAGAAGTGATTCTATATGCCTATCGCTGTTTTCTCATCGTTTTTCGTACATTTTCTCATTTCTTGCCATCTTAGCTCCAAATTGTTTTTGGTTCACATACCTGTACGTGCATCCTAGAATAGAGCGTACTTTTGGAATTTAATTGCGACCCCGTGACGAAGCTTCGCCCCGTGTTCGTTACTACGGTCTGTGTGCTTTGCTGGTCGAATTGAAAGCTTCGTTTCACACATGAACGTACACAGTCGTCCACGTAACGTATCTACGGGCACGGGCACGCGCGCGATTTCTGCTTTTCTATCTTCTCTTGTCGCTCGCGTGTGCGTGTGTGTTCCGGGGATGTTTGTACCTGTGCGCGTGTGCGCACGATACGCACAGCAACCAAGGATTACGTGTCACAAATTGGTATTACCTAGCATTGCGAACATAGACATAGAGACAGGTGTGCACGCGGCATTTCGAGAGAAGTGTCTCGAAGTGCTTCCAGCATACCTGATGCGATTCTACGTAGTAAGTTCTAACACGATTTCGTGACAGGCAATTTGCTTTGTAAGGAAATAATTGCAATCAGTTAGAACAGTCAACACAACCGGAATCCGCCACCGTTTTAAGGTTTCACGGATGAAACGCAATGAAAGACAGAAGTTTATTTCGCTATTTCAATCGTCATTCTAAATACAATTCTCTTACGTTCGGAGTCTCGGGTTGCATTTTTCTCTGCTCGAAAGAAAGCAAAGTTCGCGCGCATCTCCTCGTTACGCGAAGTTATCGCGGCGTTATTCCAGATGAATAGTTAACGCTGTTTAACTAGTTAAAACGCAGTTTACAAAAAGCATCACATTTTTTTTTTTCGCGCGCCTTGGCGTCTCGGGAAAGATGGTGGAATCCCCATCTTCCAATTAAAGTTGTGAATTTTCATGAATTTTTTCCTCGCTGAACTTTCTATCTCTCGTCGGCGAATGCACTGATGCTAAGTACGTCTACATTCCCAATTTGTTCAAGCAGTATCCGTGTACAAAGACATCGTTGCTCGAAGGTCCCGCGGGAACCGTTTTGACGCGGAACTCCGATAGATACATTATCGAACGTCCATGTGAGCGAGCGAACGAACTCGATCGCCGGTGTCGATCCTCGGAAAATTCAACTTTACGCGGCGGGGTATCCTGGAGGCGCTTGAGGCAGCATGATATGTATGTATCCTATATATATATATATATATATACCTTGCTTCTACGATATTGAAAATATTTTAAGAAATCTGTCACGCTGGAAAATTTACCGTCCGATAAAGTCGCACGGATTTAACAACATCGGCCGGGATTATTCGACGAGGTAAAACTCGTTTCACTAGCGAAATCATCGGCGGCAGTTCAAAGAAAAATCGTTATTTTTTTTACAGTTGGTAATACGCTCGTTTTTTTTCTAATTATAGTTATTGATCGAATTGCTTCTTTTATAAATAAAGTTAAAGATGTAATAAGAGTTCTGCGAAACTTTTTATGGTGTAAAATTAAGTTCTTCAGTTAAGCGCGCAATATAGAAAGAGATATAGATAAAGGGGGAAAGATTTCGTCGAATTTAGGTGCTCAATTTGTGGGTAGATCTACCTTATTGGTCGCGCGTTCACCTTCCCATGCAAGGAGATCCCTCGTGCACTGCGAATAAATCCGCCATCGTATACGGGACGGTTGCTACATGTCGAGTCATTCTGCGGGTACGACACAAATTCCTTTTCCCGAGTATAGCGCCGTTGAGGGGAATCCCGGGTAAATAGAGTGCTGCTGACCGTTGTAAAAGACCCGCACATTTCGTACATGAGAAGTCAGAAATGGTGGCAACAACGTCTTGACGTGGCAACAATCTCGACTCGCTTTCAACTCGGATAATCGTTGCCCCTTGGAATTTACACGTTATAATTCTGTGTTCTCTTTCTTATGGATAATAAATTTCTTCCGATTGGAATTACAGCCAACGGCGCTTAATTATTTATGAATTTATTGTGTTACATTGATCGAAATATTTAAAATACGTACAGGTCTACAAAACATGAGTATACAGACAAAATCTTTCAGTTTTCGCGATTTAATTAATCGCGTTTTCAAGAAGAAACAAATAATCGATCTTCTCAAAATTTGCGTCCTTTACAAATACCGAATCCAAGTTTATGATCTCATTAGGGCCACAGGTGTGATAAAACGATTCTACTTACACGGACAAGGTATTACACGATACGTATTGCCTTCGTTGTTTCTGACGATGCTTTCCCTTTGTCGTTATATAAATAACAGTAATTTCATTCCCTCTTATTACAGTCGGATTGTGGTGCATACTTGCGCTTATTGGATCTGTTTACAGTAAAGACCTCCGAATGCGGTAAACGCACGTTTAGCACGCCGAGTATACATACACGTGTACGCGTCCCGGAGGTATCTCGCGGAATCTCGCGAACGGTGGTTGGCGAAACATTTCCCTGCGAGGTAGGTAGATAGGTATCAAAGAATTCCTCACGACTGAGTAACGCTCGATCCGTGGGGGTGGAGGGGGAGGATGTACTACCGAGGATATACGCGGGTGTGCGCAAACTGAGCGCGGCAACGTGCGTCCGACAATGTTACAGCCACCACCATACTGTATATGTTACGCCGAAAGATATTGCGGCAGCAGCTCCGTACCGTACTGAAGGGACGTCAAGACGCGGATTCCGCGGCAGCCCCCCGTAGCGAAAGCGTTTTCCAGACGATGGACGTCAAACGAAATCGGGCTGCGTGAATGCGTTTGATCTCGCTGGTTTTAGATACGGCGAACAACTTGCCGCTACCGACTCCTGTCGGATGTTTTTGTTCCCTGGAATTCTTCCGCTTCCTTGTCGATACTCTTCATGGCGTTGCCTTACGCTTCACCTTCACTATTCTTACCTTCGTTTATTTAACGCTCTCAAGAGAGTGATGGAAATTACTAGGGTATGGTGACTTCTCAGTGCTATTAATTTTTGGGACCCGACAGGCGCATGTACGTCGAAATAAACAAATGTGTCCTTTTGTATCTTGTAGGAGACATAATCTTATAACATCGATAACCTCACTAATTCTATTTCTTTGATAATTGAAGTCTTAATATTAAACTTCATTATTTTTAATATCTACTTCTGCAAGTTGCTACTATTCTGTCGGTGTTATGGTTTTAATCTTAATTATATCTATGATAATAATTAATGATAAGATTATTCACACTAATATATGAAAATGGGTTTTATCATTAATATTCCGAAGAAATTCTTCGTTCCGACAGTGTATTCTTGATCCAATCTTCCTCGTAGTTATGATTAGAATGTCGTTAAAGATAGATATGCAGGAAATTAATTTAATGAATGTCGACATAAGTGAAAACAGAATGTTTGATAATAAATTTTTTAAATGATGATGCATTATATTATTTAAATAATTATAATATATTTGTGACAATTCTCACTAAAAGCCGGATATGTTAATAAAGATTGACTCGCGTATCTGTTAACGTATCTGTTAGCCAAACGTTGTTTTGATACGTCGATATTCAGATATCCGGAATAATAAACTTTTAAATATATACATATACATAAATTAGACATAACGTCCATCAACATTTTTGCTTTAATAAAATAATGAAAACGTCATTATAGTTTTTGACAAAACTAATATTCAAATATTCTTCACCGATTCTATTATATATTAATCAACTTTTATTTAAACTTTTTTTACTTTTGCAAGAATAATTTTTCTTACATTAGATAAATACTATAAATAGTTTTAAAACTATTGGATTCAAGAAAAGTAACTAATATTCAACAAATTTGGATATTAACAAATTTGAGTTATGAAATACTTTTCTATTATAGATATTGATCAATTTTTTATTGGCACCTTGTAGGCATAGTACTTATTTTATTATGACGTAAAAGTAACCCCTAAAATAAATAAGGTCTTATATCCTTACCTTCTTCTTTATCGTTGACGATCCGCTTGTGTTGGATCGGCAGCAATTCTTAACGCGCTTTCTTGCGCACGGACGAGATGCGCGTCGCCGGTAAAAGTATCTTCCGAAGGGGCAGGCATCAAACAACCCCCTACTGCCGGAATCGTCGCCGGCATTGCGCTCGCGCAGGCTTGAGCGCGCGTGTCCGTGTTCATCGTGCGGTATATACGCGGTGTGGAGCAGTAGCACCGGCACCACCATCAGCACCAGCCAGCATTCAGCAGCAGTAGCCGCGACGTGGCTGAAGGGGTTTTCGGGATTCCGATGTGATAAGTTCGCCGTGGAGTGTCGTGTTGATCGTCGCCAATCGGCCCGCGTTATTTTCGCACGTGCCTGGTGCGGGTGCTTCGCGCTTCACCCCGACGAAAAACTGGCCTGACACTCGACGTAGTGGCGAACTTTTCGAAGTTCTCGTCGGGCGCATTGAGATCGGGTTTCTGTTTCTCATACTCGGAGTTCCGCAGGTGCGCGATTTTCGATTCTTCTTCTTCTTCTTCGAAGAGGATCCGACGAAGGATCTTGTCGTAAGTTCGCGCGTGATCAGCCGGGACAAGTTGCAGCACGAGTTTTTTGCTTTCTTCGTTCTTGTCCTTCGGAACGATTGTCGCTCCGAGGGCAAAAAGAAGTTCGGGATCGGTTCATTGGTCGGGTATGTTCTCGTGTTACACGTCGTGCAACGTGTACGAGGAAGATTGGAGGACTTGAAACTAACGACGAGGGTTGACGGATCACGTGATCTCAAAGTTTTCTTGACGGACGTTCGATTCCGAATTCGCGATCTTGACGCAACGCGTTCGTACGTAGCGTGCTGATATATCAGTGATTTTGCAGTTATACTGTGGTCTCATGGAGATTTCTCGCAATTTTGGCGATTAATCGGAAACGTATTTGAAAGTTATTTATTTATTAGCCCCTTTTCACGTTTTGATGTATAATGCACAAAAAATTAAGTCAATTATTCTGAAAATAAAACAAGTTCGTTATTTTTTAAGTTTGACATATTTTTCGCGATGTTATAAAAATTCTATCAATTAATTTTTTGTAATGCCTCGACACGATACTATACTATACCTAAATATTATATCTGAAAGTAAGTTTTTATATTGGAGAACCAGAGCAGCCGTTATCGTTATTTTAACAATTTCCAGTCTTGGACCTGTATAGTTTTCGGAATAACTCATTCACAATCGCTGATGTATATTTTCAACCGCGGCTCTCGATTTATCGAACGTCGTTCGCTTCGGTTTGACTTGATTTCGTGATGTTACCTTCCTGCCAGAGTTTTATATTTTCTATTCTTATTATCGAAAAATAATGGAGTATACTTTATGCCATTGCGATAATAACGCTTGATGCGCATAATTCTTACGCGATAAAAGATACGTGCGTTCTCTTTTTCGGCATTGATTAACGATTCGGCACCGGTTTGGCTCAAGCGTGAATTCGTACGAAATCCGGTGGCGTGCGGATCGTTCGATAGATTTATGACGTACATTGACGATCGTTTGCTCGGCGACCGCTTGTCCCGGAAGTATAATATTTCCGAATCGATCGTACGTCGCCGATCAGAAGCCACGAATAATCGTGTTGTCACCGGCGTGTACCGTACGCGTGATTACGCCGATAAATCTTTGCTGCTTGGTATAAAGGGCAGAAGCAGAGATATTCTCCTATTCAAAAGAAGCGATAAAATTTAAATATTTCCGATAGATACAAGAATATTATTAAATATTAGCTGAACCTGGTGAATGTGACAATTAAGATATTATTTTTAAGATAACTGCTAGAATAGTTTTACCAACTGTTGCGTACAGTCTTGTATAATTTATTTTTAATTTGATAAAATACGACTACATCTATAATTTCTTTTCTTAAATTATGAAAGAAAAATGATTTTATTCTTATTTCTATTTTTTTTAAAATAAACCAGACTTGACAGAAAAGATCTTGGATACATTTTGACAGAAAATGTTTTGGAAATATTTTTTTTTTTTTAATAAATGCAAATATAAATTTCTCAAGTAAGATAAATATATATTGAGCGCTTTCTATCAAGTACCGAAGAAATCACGCGGCTGCACCGTCGAAACTATTGGCGCTAATCGCTCATTCTGTCCGAAACCCGTCGTCGTTTGTAAACATAATTGAAAAATACCAGAGAGCAAAATAGCGCACGAGTGCTTCAGCGGCGATCTATTCTGGCACGGTGGAAACAACGGTGATTTTCTACGCGATTTTGTAATTCGACGAGAGGACCGTCGCAAAAGTGTAGTGAAACAAATGTTTCATGAACATCCGGACATCGCACTGGTAGCATCGTCGACACGTCGATAGTTGCGGCGCGGTCGGGGTTCAAAGGTGGTTCAAAGATCGTCGACGATATGTCCTCGGAAATCCACGGACTTCCGTGAAAAAGTACGTATTATCTCTTGTTCGGGGGGGGATATACGGGGTTAACGTATCGGCGATTTGGAGCTGCGACCGGAAAGAGTTATAGACCAATCCGATCATGTAATTCGAAAGTGCCTATTTATTAAATTTAGTCGAGCGTTATGGAGTACTATTGCCGTTACTATTCCCTTCCGTTCGTTCGATTACTACCTTCCGGCTTCACTTGGCGTAGCTACTTTTAGTTTTAGCAGGGCGTTTAGTCAAAGTGTCACGATTAAATAACTTACAACGTTCTTCTTGATATACGATGATAAATTAAGATTTATAAAGGAAATGGTTTAATTCGACCCAACTGGTTGTTTATTAACATAATATTTAAATACACAACCATGGTTTCGACCATGGTTTGTGGTCCTTCAAGTGTAAACTAGGTTATAGATTTACAATGAGTTCTACGGAACCTCTTAATTATAAAAATTGATGATATACCAAAAATAATTCAAATTATGAATTTTCATATTGTCTGTCCTCGAGGTTAACGTTCAGTTTTCTGATTAATGATACATTATTAGGAAACTTGAGGTATAACAGTATCATGTAAATAAAAAAAATAATGATAAATAGTATTAAATATACGTGTAATACATAAATATTGTTAACCTGAGGTTAACAAGATTATTGATATAATATTCAAATACCCAACGTGTATTTGAATAAAATTAATAAATGGCCAATTGGGTGGAATTAAACCATTTCCTTTGTTAATTATTACTGGCAAAGAAAAAGATTAACAAGAGGTTAACAAGATTTATGTATTACATTACGTATTTAATACTATTTTATGTGGTATTTATCACTATTTTATTTTATTTACATAATACTGTTTCATTAAAGTATTATCAATAACTCGCGTAAAAATACACGGGGCGGTTTCGCGTTGCGCGTATACTTGGCGTGAGACATTACCGTGGCTCTTGATATATCATTAATCAGGATGATTATTTCGACGCTCAAGTCATTAAAATCAATCACGTCGGATTCGACATATTTATTTTAATTTATTATTCTTTAAAAATTAAATTAACTAATACTTCGAGAATGAATAATTAACGTCATCGATCTTCTCATTTCATTCACATTTTCTGTCTCTCTCTCTCTCTCTTTCTCTTGACACCACTCCGGCTTTCCCTCAATGATTTCGAACGGTCCTCGTTTGGTACTCGGACGTTGGTACTTCGGCACTCGAGTCGAAGAGCTCTTAGAGTTACAAAAACATACGTGTTGTCGATTGAGTAGTGTATTCATGAATCTCTTTCGTTGCTGGAAAATAAGCACGCGATAATTACATATTATCATGCTTTTACGTTATGCGCTCTTTGACTCTGAATATGGATTGTCACGCATAAATGTAACGCTATTCGTTTGACTTACACAAAACACGCCTATGGTCGTCGAGTTTCTGTAATCTCGAGATCTTGTTTATCGTGGTGTACACAAACCCCGTTAGTAACTGCAACTTTCCTCGTTAAGAAATGCTGATCTGAATGAGCTTATTCTTACGGTTGTTCGTTGTATTCGGAAGAAACTCCCGTGAAAGAGTTTCATCTCCTCTGTGCAGGTCTTTTTTTCTTATGCTTTTCTTATCGTTTTTCCGCCTTTCTCGTCCTCGCCGCCTTAACGTGGTCTGTAGCCGCCGCTCGACGCCGGTAGTTAAAAACTTTTAATAATAGATAAATGAGCTGAGCTGCGATTGTCCTCGAGACTTGTTCGAAGTGCGACTGAGTTCTCAATCATTTTTGTGGGAAAATTCAAGAAAAAGATACAATCCCGTGGTGAAACTAGATGTTCTGTTTAATGGAAAGAAGAATGCTATAGGTATATGCTATATAAAGACTATAATACCTGATTGTGTAAAGAAAGATTTATGTCCACAGAAATATAATGTTACCAAGAAAATTAAATTTTTTTTTGACATTTTTTCTTATCTTATTCCCGCCCCATAAACGTTTTGCTCTTATCTTATTTTAACAATTTCTCAAACCTGAGTGAATCAATGTCAAACTTCTAAAGCACCCTATAGCGGTATTATGAAATTGAAGGAGAAAAAGTGATAGTATTTTTAATGTTATTGCATAATACGTCGTATCTCGTAATCATGCGTATACGTACCGGCATAGTGATAACTGCGTATGTGGCTATGCAGGTGCACTAGAACATGGTTCGGATCGCGTGTCAGCAATTATCCGAGGCTACAGAATTGATACCGAGAATACGTGCCGGGCCGCTTTTCAACCTGTTCACTTCCGGAATGCAATTATGAATGTTTTGCCGTGTTCTGCGCGCGGCGCGTTCGCGTTTACGATTTGTCGTGGAGTTTTGCGCCGGAGATCCACGACGCCGTGGGATGGGATCGCGGCGAGACGCTGATATCGAGAACACAACGTACGCAATTATACGTCCCCTTGCCTGTAACCGGGAATTTATGATTCGACCCGAGACATCGTTATATGTTTTCCCCGGATGCGCGTTTCGTACGCAGCGATGTTCAATACCGCTGAAATTTGGGAATTAATTCGATAATTAAATCTAGATTTGTTAGCAAGATAATCTTACGATATAGAGTTTCACATTACATACATATATTGTAAAACTCTATATCGTGATATTCTATATATATATATCGTATTAGATAAAAAAATTGATATATTAATGTATTTTCAGATATATGCATGAAAATATTTGATACAGATAAAATAAATGGAATTCCATATTTTATATGACAAAAATCTCAGATACTTATTAAATTGAGATTAATATAATATAAAGATAAAAAATTACTGATTGTATTAAAAAATAGTCTTTAGTAAGTCTGTGGGGCAAATTGATGCATTGTGTACAATGTGCTTTAAAATATATGCAGTTAACCGTGTTATAAGTTTGCAGCTAAAACGCTATAACACTTTCAAAATTGCGTAATATATTTTATTAACCAGTTGACATTATCAGGTATCGTACGTTTTGCTTAAATCGTGCGAATTAACGAGATTTATCGCATCAGCGAGGCGATAAAGTTATCGGAGGGGGGGGGGGTTATTTTCTGCAGCTACGTTTATTGCGAGTCAGTTCTCGACAGACGTTCATCGAAAGACCGGACTTTTCTCACCTCGCAAACTTTCAATCGACGCGATACCATTTTTGCTCCTTATACACGCGCGCGCATCCGACGACTATATAAAAATTTCGATGACTTACAATTGCACAAGTTTTGGAAACTTTTTACTCTATTATTATTGCATGCAAATTGTAAAAGTTCACCGATGGAAATATCAATTTATCTGCCTATAAAATATGATGTACGTAACTTGTTACATTCTGCTTTTATTTACGAATATTTTGACAAATTTTGAATTTTCAGACATTTTTTGCAAATTGAATGGAACATTTTTTTGTTAATTGCTAACATAATTTTAATTCTCGAAAATGTTTAATTTTCAAATGTTAGAGAAATATTATAGCTTTACCGCGTCCTTTACTTGTAAGAAATTGTCGTCTTGTTGTTGGTGTATAAAGTAGCCAACTGAAGTTTGATATCGCGTCCGTTCTACTTTTTCACCGATTATATCATAGTCGCTAATCGCCAGATAGACAAAAAAAGACGCTTCGATAGACGAGTATACCAAGTTGGATATTGGCGATCGTCCGCGTCGTGTAGCAAGAAGTCGTTGTAACGTTTCTTCTGCCCAAGTTGTTTTTCTCACCCGTGCTTTTATGACGATGGATAATAAAAGTAATGTCCGTCATAAAGAAAATAGAGACGTCGTCCTGTATCGAACGTTGCTGGTTTGCTGCGGCCGGAGCTATCTCTCGGCTCTCATGGAGGCAATTGTGTCGATATTTTCGGCTGCTTTTATGTTTATGATATACGAGTTAATTATGTATATTATTAAGGTCGCTCGTTAAACACCTAATGTTCACGGAAGTGATAGAAAACCTATCGCTGTAATAGTTTAATAACAAAATGTTAAAATCGGTACATGTAGTTTTTAGTATTTTATACGTTACAAATTTTATAGATATTTTTTATTACTATAATATTATATTCTTGATTGATTTGTATTTTCTTCCTTTCCTTTTCTGTCTATAACGTTATATTAATTTAGAATTCGCGAATGTAATATTGTTCGATTATTATCGATGCCATAAATTAATTATCATAATTGGAAATCATTCATGAAAATCACTAACCTTGATTTGATTTTTTATTAATTTACATATATATTCATGATGTTTCCGAAAACTGAATAGACGTATTTGTGTACAAAAGATGTGAATAAGCATCAACAACTTTCTGATTGTTTTGAGTCTTTAGCATTAAGAAACGAATTCGTCTATCCCAATTTCTATTATCGTGAAAAACAGGGATACAGAAGTTTAATTTGATCAGTTTGAAAAATTAAGCGAAGAATCACGGCGATGTGTCAATTAATTGATATAAATGGGGCGTGATTTAAGTCGACGGGCTGACTATGTCGGCATACGCGGACGTTACGGTCTCACAAAAATTTAACTGCTTTTGACATCGCGTGTTTACTCCTCACAGTTTTTGGCGTTGTTTCGGGAAAACAAGCCGTCATCCGATTTACGCGTATCGACGACAGATCGGACAAATTTGGAACGTGCCGTACCGTCACGGCGCAATGGGATTGCAGACGCATATAACGGAAGTGGTGGCAGCGCTAGGTCAGGCTAGACGAAGGAGGAGACAGTGGTAACGGACGTCGGTGGTACGGCGGAAGCACCGCGAGCGGCCGATTTCCCGGATTGGCCTGACGTTTAATGAACGTCCAGACGTTTTGATTTAGGGGACAGTTTCGTTCCGAAACGGGGCACAATAACCGCCAATTTGTAAATCGCCTCGTAAATCTTGACAGTCGCGCAGCCATGCAGGAGCGACGCAACGGCGCGACCGCGCCGCGCCGCGACGAATCTCGACTTGTACTACTAACCGAGCATCCAGTCCAATTGCATTAAACTATCGACGCGCCGTTAAAAGAGATCAACTGGCATTACAGCAACTGTAAACAGTAGCGCGATGGTAATGTTGTAGCGCTGAGGCAATAGCGCGATTGATAGCATAGTTTGGTAATTGCTCAAATTTCTAATTGGCCCAATTACCAAACGATGCCATAGCAATTGCGTTATTGCTCGAGCGCCATAACGATCATTATTAGCGCCCGAATGAACATAGAGTGCTGTCGTAATATTAATTAATTAAGAATTGAGACGTTAAGATTTGTAATACAATGTATTCGTTATATAATGTTTTAAAATCAAAACGATGAAATTAAAATGACGATAATGTTCTGCAGTTAGGAAGTAAAACTGAGGATAGATATGTGACATGTGTGTTAGAGTACTCGCTTTTCTGTACATGCTATTGTACTGGCTCAGTTAGATGCAATATTTTAATAATTCGCTATTTTGTTCGTATTTAATTCATTTATAGCGTTTTTCATTGGCAGAACTGGTGCGCACTCAGTGCACATTAAAGCCGTTGTACACTGATTTAATCTCTAATATTTAAAGTAAAATGCAAATATTTCGACTGATAAAATATCCAGTACATATTTTACCAAATAGTACAATAAAGAATATTGAGAATTTCATGATTTAATTTGTTTATATTAAACACTTTACGTTTTTGGTTTGTGTACGACGGCTTTAATGTGCACTGAGTGCGCACCAGTTCTGCCCATGAAAAACGCTATTAGACATTTAATCCTGTGTCTTTACATTATGAATTCCTTGAAATTAAGAATACGATAAAAATATAATTTTTTACATTTATTATATTCTCAATTAGCGTTTTATATAATTTTATGTAGCTAATAATAGCAAAGCAATGTGTGCTTAAAATAAGTTTTAGTAGGAAGAAGATACTTCTCCCTGCTAAAAGAATTAATATCAAAATTTTGTTTTAACTTTGATATATGCATCTTATAACTATTCGGCGTTTGGTCTCTCGGATGCTCGTTTCTCGAGCGTAAACATAGCTGTGTATGCCTTCAAAGTTTAGCATGCACTAACTGCGGTCTTCACCGAGTAGACGTGACATAACACGAAGATACCTAAACTACGTGACTCCTTGCGTGACACGCTTATGTATTTGCATATAATCAAGGTGTCGGAAATCTCAACGTTTAGCAACTGCATATATTCTTGTTTGCATTTTTTTCGAGAGGTATATAAGGTTGTGATATATCAAAATCAATTCTCGTTTAACCTATTTGCACTTTTATTATATAGGTACAAAATTGTTAACTTATAAATGTTTCGTATGTAAAATTTTGATAATCTTAATTTAATATTTTATATTTTTTGGGAGGATAGCAAAATTGTATTTAATTTATCTTTTCTTGCGATTTTCTTAGATTATATTTACTATTTTTTTTAAATTATCAACGGTCATATTGTTCTATATCACTGCACATAGAAGAAATAGCACTAACAGAGAACCGCCTGGAGCTATATCCATGCGAAGCATTTTTCCATGAGCCTGTCACGAACAAGTTTACGAGAAAAATAGATAAAGGAACGCGAGCGTTACTATAACGGTGTTACGTAACTGAGTTTGCTAATTATGGAGCGAGCGCGATAGTAGAAGTGAATTCAGGGTTGTGGCGACGCAGGCCATTTTACTCGAGTATCAACGTAGCATCGTTATGGAAATCCCTGTTATATATCTAGTAAAACTCGTGATAACATTATGAATTGCGCATTACGCGCGTAATATTAGAAGGCTCTTTGCACTCTAAATGTCCAAGTATAATGGTCTGTAAAAACTTTTGTTGCGTTACGAGCTTTATCCAGAAGATATCTGATAATATTAAAAAGAGACCAGGAGGGTCGGTGTTTAATAACATCTTTGCTAAAAGAAAATTAAATTACGGAATTTGTAATCACAAGAAGATGATAGATATGAAATCTGTTGCGTGTATATGCAGAGTATATGGTAGATAGTACATCGCTCTATATGTCGTGACATATATTAAATGAAAAGCCTGTCATACGTATATGGGTGTGAATAAAAAGGACTCTTTTCACACTCAGAGTCTTTATTTATTTATATTTTGAATAACATACTATGTACGCATCTCTATATAATTGAGCTTATATTGAGATGACATGTAAAATAATTATAGATTGATTCATTAAATCATTTTTAGCTAATATAATCTTCATACTATCAGTAATCATTGGACCGTACCGATATCGAGTACACAATCTGGATCATAAATAGCAGAGTTGCATCTTGTCGAGCGATGTTCACATATTTCAAGTCGATAAGTCTGATTAACATTGGACGTTCGTTAATTACCGTATCCTTGTGTATTACACTGACTTAGCCATGCGTTAATGATTTTACGGTTGTGTGCGCTTCCGACCAATCGGCATATTGCAACATTGCAATATGCATTCGGTTCGTGCACATTATGCCGGATTGACGTGTACATATGTTCCTCGCGCTCGTGTATTGTACTAGATTTATATCGTGCCTTTAATGATAGAATAGGGTTATTTGCTGAAGACCACTAATAATCTGCACCACTAATTATCTATGAACTCACGGATATGAGTAGGATGTAATGCCGGCGTGTAAACTATATTATTAATGATAAACACGTCTCGTTGCTTGCTTTTATGCATATCACTTTTATGAATATTTCATGTTTTCCTTGATTCACTGTTTTTATTTTGTTGAAAAATAATCTAAATAAATTCAAGAGTAATATAATATGAGAAAAATATTTAACAAAAATTTGATAATTTCTTTTTCTAATCAAACTTTTTGTTATTACAGATTAGCTTCGGAACTTAAAGTGAATATCGACGGAAAAATGGCGGACCGACAGAGAAGGAGTCGATACCTGACCATCAGTATACTGCATATTATCACAATAATGTGCCAAGGTACGTGGATTATATTTCAGCATGCTTAATAATATTGGAATTTAAACGTGAGACATTTTCGGACATTCATAGAGGTAATAATACAATATGTGATACGATACAACACGATTAAATCTGCCATGGGGCATAAATGTCCGAATATATCTATATGCTTCTAGCGAATTTAATTTTCCGATTTACAATATTTACTCAGTGACAAATATTACGAGTTTAGTTCGTATTTATGTTTCGATCTCTACACAAATATCGCGATATCATATCCGGATTTGTATATAATGTTGATACTGGCATTATTTTCGGTATTTGAAATTATAAACTTACATGAAGCTTCACTTTCGTTAATTATGCTCTGTTACCAAAGATAAATTAGCTGGGGGCCTAACACATAATGTCCAAACGTTATTACTGCTCGATAAGGCACGATTGTATTACAATTAGACTTGTAACGATAATTCATAACATTCACGAAACGTGGAACAGCATGCGTATACTAATTACATGGATTTGTCACGTATGAACGGTGAAAGGCGATTATTGCAGCATCTGTTAGATTCGTTGTAAAATCATAGGATTGTACCGCATACCATTGTTCCCTAAATCCTAAGCTGGCTGTTTATTGCGAATAGTTAATTGCGAAAATTTGACGCTTCCCTCTCGACTTTTAATCAATTTATCCGTTCATCCAATCACACATTTTTGCGTTATACGTCGATATGTGCTATTCATTGCTCTTCTTTGATTCTAAATCAATTGAAGAATCTCATTACGCGAAGTTATGAATAGTTGTACGAGATGTAACCTGAAAATTTTTATTTTACCTTTTATCTAAATTCATGCAATATCATTGATATTTTGAATCGATACGACATATCGTCTCGAGTTAAAAATGTGAATAGAATATCTATTTAAGAAAATCGTAACGCTTTCCGAGCTAATGCACATTGCGCACTTTCAATTCAGCGTTAATCAATCTTCCGCTCAGCGTGCGATATCTCGCCGCGTTATCGTTTCTCGCTCGTTCAATAGAAGGAAAGTTGAGGATATCTTCGAATCTTCCTTTAGAAGCTTAATTATCGCTAAATAATAAGCTAGTCTCTTCCACACCTTCTCTAATAGGACATATAAAAGAGCTCCGGAGTAAACTTTGCTTTGCTTTAGTGGCTATTCTCTAAGTTTTAAACGATTTGACGTAACAATATCTACTTTGCTACGATGGTAACGCTCGGTCGGAGGAGATGAAAGAGAGAATGACTAAAAATGAGGAAATGAGATAGAACGAAGAAAGGCATGAAATAAAGGGCCACTGAGTGAGGTATAAAACGAGAAAGAAAGAAAGAAAGAGAATGAGAGGGAAGCAAAGAATAATAAAATCGCTTTGGGTTCCGTGTCTTACAAAAGCTGGCGGCGAATATCTGTGTTAAATTGGATCTACACCTGCTGATATAACTTTGTAATATTCTAATTAAGACTGCAACGTTCTTGTAATGAGTTTCACGACACTCTTCTTTGCTTTCTGCTTGCTTTTACAGTATACTGTAGATGCACAGAAATAGTTATTTTTTATATTTCCATACATGTCGCATGTGTATCAAACAGAGGATAAGTTACAATACAGATGGTGATCAAATTTTTCTAAAATTCTGATATTTGGTTGAGTAACGCACCTAGGTGCAATCAATTAAAATTATACGAGCATTCGAATGATGTACGACATTCACTAGTTTCGCAATTACTAATTCCTGATTTCGCGATTAAAGGGTTTCTGCTGTTCCGCAGTTGTATGATGTATTGCATGGCGGTGTTCCATCAATCTCAAGATGAATGCGACGTAATTTTTTCATACGACAACAATTTTGTGATTTCCGTTTCCGATACACCGAGTTCGACATTGCTGAGATTTTGCGTGCTTTTTACAATAGTCGAAAAAAAAAATATATTTTTGCTTATATCACTGCAAGTTTCTACTGACAGTTACGATCTAGCTATCGTGTTGCGTATGTAAAGTTGCCTAATGATATAACTCGTTATATTAAAATCAATTTTTTTCTTTTGGATAGAAAACTAAAAGTAACAATAATAAATTAATATACATAAGTAGTTTTTTTTATCAGAACGAAGATAAAGTCTCTTAATTTCTGTAAATACTTAAAAAGAATACGTTTAGTAATTCTTTTAAATCAAGTAGTTAATATCAATTACTTGAAATGACGTTGAAACAAGAAAATGTGCAAATAATTTGCAATAATTTGCCAATAATTTGTATACAGTGATTCGTAAATGTATCAAAGCAACAGCTATTTATTGAATCAATTATCGGTGATTCCGGATTTATTCGTTTGGAGTAGGAATCCAAATGAAAGAAAATAAGAATTATGAATTATTGTGTCACAACATTTACAGGCATTATCTTGTTGGCGATGCTTAAATTTGAATAAATTTAGCGCCGAATTGAGTTTCGAACTCCTGGTTTAAATGTGATATTGGGATAGAGATATTATTACTCGAAAATTTAATTTGACAAGGGAATCTGCTTCAATCAAATTGAAATATCGTTGCGTTTACCGAATCCTTAATAATAACTACTTACCATAATAACATATTAACTTTGCTATTAATATGATGCTGTTTAATATCTTCTGGTACTTGTCCCTACGTTGAGAGAGTAATATCACGACACACGGAACAGCCCTCGCTGCTACCTGCTGACTCGACTGTCGCTGTGCGAACGATAACTCGATGCGCGGCAGCCTTACGCGTACATCTTAGCGCGCCTCGTTATTAAAACAAACATCAAGACCACACGGCAATCAGCCTCGCTGCCGAGAAATATCTGACATATTACAAAATAATTGTACTTTAAATGTTCCGTTTTTTCTTTTAAATTAATTATTAATACCTAATCGATATAACATGGTTTCTCATTATCCAAATGACTCGATCTGGTGATTCGTACATTATTTCGTGTAAATTATCAATCTAAAGAAGTAGGTAAATTACATTAAAATGAATAGCTTGAGCAGAACGAAAACAAACATCAAGACCGCGCAGTTAATCTTGTTTCTTTGAAATATTAATGTATTATACATTGGATATTCCGTTTCTCATATCGAAGCAGTAAAACGGTAACTTATAATTTCTATTTTCTATCGTTTCAAATTTTACTTCAGATGAATAAATCGCGCAACGTTTTACGAATACTTAAATTACGCGGGCTAATAATCGCGTATTGTAACAATTGTGAAATAAACCTTTTAGAATTTTTTAATATTTCTTGCAACTATTTCGAGAGATAGTACGACATACATGGAGCGGCTCTTACTTTAATTAATATCTACTTACTTATAATTCTTACTTTATAAAACTGTTTTAATTAATATCTAGTGTTCTCAGGCGACGCTAATGTGCCTGCAAAACAAGGTGTAAAATATGCGATTACAGTTAATGTATTGGAATTACATTAAAACGCGAAAAAAAAAGAATATTCCGCGTACATTTATTAATACGTTGAATTTTTCGTGACTGTTTGGCACGCGGTCTTAGCGTTTATTTTGATGGCGCGCTATTGTGTACGCGCGAGGCCGTGCGATTTCACTCGAGCCAGTATGTAGTAATGTAGCAGCGGGAGTCGCTTCGTGTATCACCGCGTTATCTATTGAATCGTGATTACTTTTTACGAACAATTAACAGCTATATGCCCGCGCGTTTAATTAGCTACTGCGATTAACGACTGTAAATGAATCGGCTATTTATTTCGCGCGGTGTTCAGTTCACAGGATCGAAAAAGTCGAAGCGATAAAAGATTGCAACCATATAAATTACTGTTTTACTTGTATCGCTAATAATACTTTTTTTAACAACTTTAATTTTAAATTCAGTAAATGTATTTCGCAGTTGCGCTTTAAATTTTCTCAAACGTAATTTGTTCGTTACTTTCGAATTGAGACTATTGAGAGTGCGGAATGTCGAGTGATTATAAAGGATCGCAGAGTTTCGGACTTCGGAATTTTTTTGTTACTTTTCGGTCGCAATCTGTATATAACAGAAAAATGCGCGTTGTGTTTGATTAACGTCGAGAATATCGTGCGATTATATTGTGTTAATTAAGATGCGCGATCATAATTATCCGTGTTTTCGCGAGAGTTGTAAGTACGAACGAGTCTGAGAGGAGGAGGAAGCCTATTTCCTCAAATATCGCAATATTACGAAATGTCTTACAAAATAGGTATAATATTTTAACAATATCAGGTTTCACGAAAATATTTATTCCGCTTTTTACGAAAATAACCGCACTCAGTTGATTTCCAATTTAATAGTGATCCGTTCCTGTCACAAAATAAAACTTTACTCAATACGCTTTTTGATATTCAAGATTCATATGAGATCGACGACTACGGGATCGACACAATCGCGGATTTGAAGCTTATTTTTATCTGTGTAAACTAATTACATCATACATGTTTCGTTTTTCACTTCTGTTTATAGTCAGAGAGTACAATATCTGCAATTGTGACACAAGCCGTTATATTTTTTGCCTCTATATTATTTATTACAAAAAATACGATTAATACAATCAATGATATAGGAATAGTTAAAATCAAATGCACGTAATTTTATTCCCAGGTTTTATAAATGTATCTAGTAGTTTTTTGTAATTATTTTTTTTATAAATGTATATGATGCGCTTGTGCCAGCTATTATAAAACTTACATACCTGACACGCTTTACGCATTTTCTAATTAAAAATTCTTTTTGCTCCGATAAAGTATTCAGGATATCTTTCACTACACTTGTTCAATATACGTTTGATTTTTCTCGCTTTTACTTTCTTGCCTTCACGTAGATAGAAAACGGACAAATAGAATTCAGAATTTTGAATTTTCGCAATAAGTTTACGCTAAATTAACGATATGATTATCCTAGAGGTGCGAAAGCTCTATGGGATTTTGATATTGCGGTGACATCGCGCGCCGGCATCGTTCAGGATCGGCCTAAGCAATTCG